CACACACACACACACACACACACACACACACACACACACACACACACTTGTGAGGCAGCAGGAAGCCCTCCCACCTTTGAATAGAAGTGAGGCCAAAATTCACTCAGACAGACAGAAGTGTTAGCACATCTGAGTGTCCAGGGCAGGGCAGCCATGTGTGGAGTCTATGTGGAGTCACATAGGCAGTCACTATGGGACTGTCCTACCTAGGACACTTAGGTGACAGGCCTGCCGTGGTGGGTAATGACCGTGGCGTCCACTCCAACACCCTCTAACCTCCGAGGCTGTCTCCCTCTTTCCTCCACATTGCTTTCCCATGAGCAGTATCGTGGCTCCACACACAAACTCCTGAGGTCTCTGGGTCTGACCCTGTGAGGCAACACTCAGGGAGGGGCTGTGCTGGACACTGACTTCTGTCACATTGTCAACGGAAACTCCGTGGGCACCAGTGAGGCCTGCAGCATGCCAAGGAGTATGTCGCTCTCTGAGGGGCCACACAGGAAGCTGCAGGACACACCTACACGTCCCGTGGAGCTTTCGCTCTGCCGCTCTCTGAGTGTGCCCCTCGCTTCCACTGGTGAGCTAAGACACTGGCCAGGCAGCAGTGCCATCAGCCCTGTGCCCACTCGGGGCTTCCTCCTGGATCCAGCTGCTCAGGGAGACCAGCACGCAGACACTCCAAGGACATTCATTCCAGCGACTTCACAGAAGCCAAGTCAGAAGGCTGAAGGACCTCAGTCTGCGAGTGTAAGGGAAGGCCGATCGCCTGTGCTGAACACCGCCTGCTCTGGGTTGAGTTTCACAGCATGGCATAGCAGTTCACACATTTCCACACTCAGGACTTGAAGAAGCCAGTGTCTTGCTGGTAAACACGGATGACAACTGTTAGATCTGTGAGTGACCAGCTTCACTGGCACTAAAACCCTCAGCCATGTTCCAAACAAAGCAGAATTTAAAAATAGAGCACCCAGGAGTGGTACAGCTGGATCTTGAGGAAGCACTATTCCTAATTGTCTGAGAAAGCGCCAGATTGATTTCCAGAGTGGTTGTACAACTTTACATTCCCACCAGCAGTGGAGAAAGGTTCCCCTTTCTCCACAACCTCTCCAGCACGTTTTGTCATTTGAGTTTTATGATCTTAGCCATTCTGATGGGCGTAAGGTGAAATCTCAGGGTTGTTTTGATTTGCCTTTCTCTGATGACTAAAGACTTTGAGCATTCTTTAAGTGTTTCTCTGCCATCGATATTCCTCTACAGAGAATTCTCTGTTTAGCTCTGTACCCATTTTTAATTGGATTATTTGGGATGTTGGTGTCTAATTTCTTGAGTTCTTGATATATTTTGGATATTAGCTCTCTGTCAGATAGAGGGTTGGTGAAGATCCCAGTCTGTAGGCTGTCGTTTTGTTCTGATGACAGTGTCCTTTGCTTTACAGAAGCTTTTCAGTTTCAAGAGGTCCCACTCCTGAGCATATACCCAAAAGGTGCGCTACCACACCACAAGGACATTTGCTCAGCATGTTCATAGCAGCTTTATTAACAACAGCCAGAAACTGGACACAATCCAGTTGTCCCTCAACTGGAGAGTGGATAAAGAAATTGTGGCACATTTACACAATAGAATACAATGAAATCATGAAACTTTCAGGCAAATGGATGGAATTATAAAACATTATCCTGAGTGAGGCAACACAGACCCAGAGATACACATGGTATATACTCACTTCTAAGTGGATTTAAGTCATATAGCACAAGATAGACATACTCCAGTGCACAGACCCCAAGAAGATATGTCCAATGGGCATCTTAGGCCTCTTGTGGGCCACAAGTTAGGGGAATGGGGGTTATCTCTGACACGAACTGTGTTGCCTGCTTTTTGATCACTCCCCTCTGATAGGACTTCCCAACAAGGTCACAGGGGAGGAAGATGAACTCAGTCCTCATGTGAATAGATGAGCTGGGGGGTCTGCGTATGAGGGCTCCCCTATTCTGAGGAATGGGGGAGAGGGGATGCAGGAGGGAGGGTGGGACTGGGGGAGACGAAGGGAGGAGCCTATGACCAAGATGTAACTTGAATTAATTAATAAAATAATAGAGCATCCAGCATTCAGAGTCAGAGGCCTGGGAGAGCTTTGGAGGAGGGCGGCAGGAGGAGGGAGAGGGAGGAGGAGGAGCACTGCTGCCCTAGTGAGGAAGTGTCTGCTCTAGACTGTCTTGGGAAGACCTAGCCGGCCCTGGAGAGGGTGCAGGGTCCTGGGCGTTGGAAGTGTACAGGGCATGTGTACTCGGAGGCCCCCGTTGCCTTACAGCCCTGATGAGAGGCAAGTTTCCCAGAATTCTTTTTTCCTGCTTGGCTTTTCAAGGCAGGGTTTTTCTGTGCAGCCCTGGCTGTGTTGGAACTCTTTGTGTAGAGCCAGGAAAGCAGTGATCTGCCTGTCTCTGCCTTCAGCTGCTGGGACTGGATTAAAGGCCTGTGCTGACTTGCACGGCCAGCATGCTTTCTTAAAGGCCAACATGACGAGGCTTGTCCTGATCCAAGTGTTCACCCGTCCTGGGTACTTGCGCCTTGAAACCAAGCAGCACTGTTCAAGGCACTTTCTTACTCCAAGTGCAAACTCATTTAACACTGATGTACACCAAACTCATAAGCAGGCCTGTTTGGCTGAATATTTTCTGAGAAACCCAATTGTCCCCACACTTGGCCAATTTCTTAGAACATCTGCCCAGCTTTTCTGGGATCCATCCTGTCCTGACTTAAATTAGTTAAACTCATTCGAACGAAAACATTCCTTTTCCTCCTGTTGCTGACACAGTAGGAGGAAAGGCTGAGCTTGTTTCTTGGTGCTGCTGGGAGTCTTGGGCTGGTTCTGGTAATACATTGAGCACTTCTCTGCACCACAGCCACATGGGTGTCCACCCCTCGACTGGAGGTCTCCCGAGCAGCTCAGCCCAGTGCTTGGAGAGCCAATGCTCTCTCTCTCTCTCCCCACCGCTCTCTCACAAGCAGCACTTGGGATGGCAGGATCCCCATTTACTCTCATGACCCCGATTAAAGGCAAGGGTTGCTCCTTGTTTACCGCCAGGAGACTTCCCTGAGATTTAACGAGGAGCAGGCACAGGCCTAGTTATCATAGTCTTGTGTGGTACAGCCGGGCGGCTGCAGTGCGGCTGGAAGCTGCTCGGTCATGGCTGCCACGAAGGTCACTGTCAGGGTTCCTCCCGTTATCTCAGAGAAAACGCACCATCAGTTTCTTCTGTCTCAATCCAAATTTAGGGAGAAGAAGGAGTTTACGCTGAAGCAAAGGGAAGAGGAAGGTTACCAGAACATTGCCTTTCCGCCTCCCCTTCTGAGCTGAAGCTGTGGGCAGCGAGCTGGGAGGTCACCCCCGAAAGACCCCGTGGAGTCCCTCGCCACCACTCCTGGGGATCAGTGGGCCGGGGTCGTGCCGCTGTGGAGACACACCACCCACACTGAGGCGGGGCTTCAGCCTGAACCCCGGCCTGCCACACACTGACACTCTGCGGCACGTGCTCTTGATGTTCAGACTTGAAAATGGCCGCCGCTTCCCTCCTGGCTTTCCCAGCCATTCTTTTCAGGAAGTAGCGATGGGGCAGGACGAAACCTGCTTCGGCTGGTTTCGAGCGGCTGTCTCCTGTCGGCCTTCCATCACCACCCCGTAGATCCGAGCATCTACAAACCAGAAGTCACACTCAGCTCAGGAGTCAGGGAGCAAGGCTCAGGCCGAAGCCCGAGGCAGTCCTGCACAGAAAGACTAGTGAGCACCTCCAGCTGAGAAGCGCTGAAGCAGATGAGCCCCCATTTCAGAGTCCACTCCTGCTGGGGTAGTAGCACAGGTGTAACGACAAGGCTCCCGGCCTTTATTCAGTTCACAGCCCTCAGATACTTGTGCTCACTGTGTGGGCTGTGAGGGGTCAGGAAGTGGGATGGGCCACGCAGGCTGGAGTCTGTCAGCAGCCCTCCCCACAACGCGCTGGACATGCTCTCAGAGGAGGCCTCTTGTTGGAGGCCTGGAAAGGGCCTAGGGTGTGATGCTCCAAGGTTATGATGTGGAGATAACCCATGCTCTTTACTCCTCCGTGCTGCGGGCATCTTGTCAGAAAACGCTGTGTGCTGCAGGCCCTATTTGGTGACTGCAAGCTTCAGAGCTGAAGTGAGATTCCTGATACTTTCCCGAGTCCAACTGAGGAAGCTCCCGATGTGGTAAACACTGCTTCTGTTCTGGATCCACATGACAAAGCCTTGAGCTTCGGCGAGTATGCCTCTAACCATGGTCCGTGGCTCTGCGTGCCTTCGTCTCTTCCACCCACCTCATCCCGGCTCCACTGTGGAAGCCAGCTCAGCTCCCGCTGACACCCCACCTTCTGGCGCCTCCACTACTGTTTTCCCTTTCTCCTCGGTTATTGCTTAGCTTCCACATCAGAGGCCAGAGACAAGAACATCCATCCTGTGCCTAAAGATGTGCCACTAGGGGAGCACAGTGTCATTAGGAGCGGGGAGGAGCCATCGAATTTGGGGGCCTCTCCTCATGGTGTGGGTGAAGCTGCCATGCCACTGGACATGCAAATTTGCTGCCTCTCTGCTCCTCCAGTATCCCAGGCCTAACGATACAGCCACACCCATTCATTATTCGCTCTGTATGAAAGGGACCCTGGACAATGCAGAAGCCTAAGGAGAGGACACTGTTCCATCCTGCCTCAGTGACATGTGATACCTGGATCGGGAGTTCTGAACCCCGTGTGACACAGAACAGGAATCATTCCGAGCCACAGTCCATGTCAGGAAACTGCCCAGTACCCGATCTGCATGGGCCCTGCAGGCCAACCCTGACAGTGTAGACACAGAGACTGAGGCCAAGTGCTTCACTAGTCGGCAAGCCAGACTGACCCAGAACCCGGGGAACAGCCCCGTGTCCCCTCCCAGGGACCTTGTACTTACGATGGGGCTGGCGTTGATGTAGTCTGAACTGCTGTGGCTATTCTCAGACTTCAGCAGGATCCTAGAGTGGTCATCTGCAAGCAAGCCGAGAGTGGGGGTTAAACTCCTGTCCAGCCCTCCAGCTGCAGGAAGCTAATCACTGCCCAGGCGGCCTCGAGGCTCCCACCGGCCCTTCTCAGCTCTGGTGTACCCCTTACAGTGTGGGCCTTCCCCCTACCCTGTGTAGGAATCTCTTGTATAAGGGCATATGCAGGGTGCATGTGCAAAGGCCCAGGACCTCTCATTTGGCAGAATTCAGACTCCTTTGCAGTTTTCCCATACGGAGCCCAGACGCCATGTTTATCTTCTGTGCAGCATTGACCAAGCACCGGCCTTTCAGTGACAGACACCTCTGCCAGCCTACAGCAAACAAACACACGCGTGAACACTAACAGGAAGGCCAACAGCCGAAATGGAAGAGTTGCTGATAAATCGCTAAACCTCACCGTCGTTACAAGTTAGTCTCGAAAGTAAGGGCCAAAGAAAATGTGGAAACACGTCCACTGTCAGAATAGGGATGTGCCGGAAGTGCGGAGTCCACCTAGACACAGAACAAACCGCCCTGCCTGCGGGGATCCTCTGTGCCCTTGGCACAGGGTGTGTATGCGGGCACAGAGGAAGGCTGTGTGCTGCCCGAGAGTGCCAGCCCCTGTGTGGGCCCGGTTCCTCCTCCAGGGGCAAGCTCAGCAGCCTCCGCCAGTCCCAACCAGTGCTCTCCCCGCAGGGAAGGCTTTGCTCTTGGGGAGACAGCCGACTGGACTTGGAGGCCCAAAGCCTTCCTCAGGTAGGCCCCATCCTGCGGAAGGCGGCTCTTGGGTACGGGAGCTGCCCAGTTGCACCAATGCTTGGGAACTTGTTTTTTTCACTTAGGTTTCTGTAATTTCATTCTGAGAAAGGGCCTCAGTGTGCGGCTCTGGCTGTCCTGGACTCGCTCTGTAGACCAGGCTAGCCTCCCACTCACAGAGACCCGCCTGCTTTGCCTCACAAGTGTGGGCACTAAAGGCGTGCACACCATGTCTAGCTCTCCAACGATTCCATCAATCTTGAAGATTTTCCTTAAAAATCGTGTCTGCCTGTGTCCGCGTGTGCCTTAAAAACGGTTTCTGCGCACACGTCTGTGTGTGTGGATACCTTTGCGTGAAGCATGCGCAGAGCGGGAATGTTGTGCACTTGGCTCTCTCCTTCCACCTTTAACACGGTTGGGGCTGAGGACTGAGTCATGTTCTCAGGCTTGCACAGCGAGCATTTAACCCAGAGCCAGCTTAGCCCTCAGTCACCAAGTAGTTTTAATTCCGTGGGTCTTTGTACGGGTGCTCGTGTGAGCACAGGTATCTGTGGAACCCATGGCCGCATACACGTGAGGCAAGCATTCTGTGAGCTGAGCTGACATCCCCAGCCATAATTAGAGACGACAACAAACAGAACAACAGAGCTACAGCAGGCGCTGGAGAGATGGCACAGGAGCCTGACTGTGCGTCTGCTCTTGCAGACAACCTGAGCTGGACCCGAGCATCCACACTGCTGGCCCGTGGTGGCCCGTAATTCCAGGCCCCGGGAACCTGATGCTCTCACTTCCAGCCGCTGAGGGAATCTGCACTTGCGCATCCCCTCACACACAGACATGCGTGAAATTTAAAACCACCACCTCCGTGTTCAAGGGCTGGGGAGGTCGACCTGGAGGAGATGATCTACCCGGGGCAGCAGACGGGTGCAGGCCAGCAGCCTGAGGGTGTGAGGGCAGTGTCCCCAGAAGAGGCAGGATTCAGTGTGGAGCATCCACCCAGCCAGGTGCCTGCTCAGGGCTGCAGAAGAGAGCGGATGGCAAGGCATTCCTGCAGGTTTTAGCAAAAGCGTGGATGATAAAAAAAAAAAAAATAATCCCATGGACTCGACGGTGCCTTCCTGCAGAACGGTACTTCTAAATACAAACTGGCGCTGAAGCGCACCTCCCTCTCCTGACTCCAACTTATCATAAACACCTGTTAAGAAATAGTCTCAATTTCTCCAGTATTCTATATTTTCATACATACTAGAAGAATAAAAAGATGTTCGCTACCTTCCGGTTGGTGTGGTGGCCTGTTAGGTCAGCTCTGTCCCACCGTGATTGAGGCGTGTTCCCGGCTGCCCACAGAGTGTTCCGGATGGCACCGGGAGCCTGGCTCACCGTGAGTACTCCCCATGCGCCGGCCTTACATCTGTGCTGCTGGCACTCAGCGCCTCCTGCGACAGTTAGAAGCAGCAGGGGTGGTGAGGGAAGGACAGGGAAAAGAAAGATGAACCTCGTGCTGTGCTGGCCCGGCACTGTGTACTCAGGAAGTGGATGTTCCGAGTGGAACACTGTGCTAGGCTGGGGAGAGCTGAGAGCAACCACGGCTTCCCTCAGAGGAACAGTGTGGCCCAGAACGGCAGACAGGGTAGCTGTGCCTGCGCTCAGCAGATGGCCACAGCTGGGCTTCCTTATCAGAAAGCTACGACAATGTCCCCTAAATCCGGAGGTTTGCTAGGAGAAAGACGGAGCCTTGAGTGTGAAGATGAAGAGACGCTCTCATGGCTGCTACCTGCTGCTGCCGGCCAGCTCCGCCGAGGGGCCGTGGGTCTCAGCGGCAGCTGCGCCTTCTTCCCTCACCTTTGTAAGAACTTCACCTCAAGGAGAGGCCTACCCGGCCTCAGGAGTATATTGGCTTTGCCAGGGCAGAGGCGTGCACCGTGAGAAGTCAGCAGCAAGTCTAATTTGTGGTTTTCTCTCCCTGTCCATGTTTTTAAAGCAGTGCTGAAGGAGCCAGCAAGAGGAATGCTGTCAAAGACAGGCTCCCTGAACCGTGCGGTCTGGCGTGCCTGCCTGACCCTCAGGAGGCTAAGGGAGGCAGGGGCCTAGGAGACCAGTCTACACAGGTCTGGCCACCTGCAAGCTTCAGGGTGGCTATGAGCAAACACATGGCCCACCGCTATCTCTGCCTTATGGAAGCTGTTGCCTCCTGTCCTCAGGGCAACACACATGTGGCAGGATGACTGGGCACAACAGCCAAGAGCCGATGACAGCTTTGAGGCATTTCAGTTAACAAGTGGTATGTTTTCCAAAAGGTAGTCTGGCGACTCAGGAGCCGGGGGCCTATAGTTGTTGGGACATTTTCTTTCTGATGAGATCCACAGTCTGGGAGGCAATAAACACACCTGGAGAGCATTGCTGATTGCTCCCGCCACACACCGTCACCTTCTGACCCCCGTACCTGTCACACACTGGTTCCTAGCTCAGGAACATTCTGAAGTCCTACAAGAGTCCACCGTGTTACATATGACATCTCTGATCACCCGGAGACCTGAGCACATATTAAATAGAGCTTAGTTCATGCTGAAGAAGCTGAGGCTTGGGAAGATGGAACAGGGTTCTTGGCCAGTCTCAGGAGAGGACAGTTTCAAGTCTAAGCACTGCCATTTGTTAGCCTGGAGTGTTTGGATAAATTAAGCAGTGTTTCAGAGAATTGGGCTTCTCTTTCAAAATATAGTGTTTAATATCTAATTATAGGATTGTTGTGATCATGACACCTATTATGACAACACAGTGAGGGGTTCAGGAATAAGTTCCTGGTATGGCTGCTCATGTGGCCCAAACAAGCCGAGATGCGCAACCAGTCACCTCCATCTTCCTGTTTGTGCCTTCCTCCAAGTCGAGGGTCTCCTTGTGTTTCTCTTTTCTCCACTTGCTCCTCCCTCTACATCCTGTCACTGTGTCACTCACTCTGCTCCTCCCTCCATCAGCTCCATCCAGCGAATGGTCTTCATGGCCACAGCACCCTCCCCTGCTTCCGCAGGCCCACTGACAGTCAGTAAACAGCGATTATGCGACCGGATCTCACCTACTGCCCTCAGCTCTTTCCCCACATTCCCACTGAGGGATCACAAATATTCAGAGAGGACCCTTTCAGACCTCCTGTGGTTAGGCAAGAGAACACGTTGTTACATGAATCTGCCCCAGTGCTCTGGGAAGCCAGATGGATGTTTCTGAAGGTCTAGGAACAGAAAGTAATAACATGACATGCGTTTCGTGATGCTTTGAGGAAGTGCCAGATGTGGCAACTTAAGGAGAAATTTGAAGGTATTGCTCATCCTGTCTGGGGAGACGTGGTACCCAGTACACTGTGTATACAGCGTGTGTGTGTGTGTGTGTGTGTGTGTGTGTGTGTGTGTGTACACATATATATGCACATTATGCACAATGTACATAGGTTGTACATACAGATGGGGAATGCTGATGCTCTAGTCTCTTTATCCTTTTATTGAGGGCACCAGCCCACAGGATGGTGCCATCCACATTTGAGGTGAATCTTCCCTCATTAGTTACAGTCAAATTCTTTTTTAAACTTAAGTATGTGGTTTCATGTATGTGATACTTACATGTATGTGTATATATTGATATGTGTGTGTGTGTGTGTGTGTGTGTATCTGTATATATGTATGCACCATAGGCTTGCCTGGTGGAGGGCAGAAACAGCATGAGATCTTCTGGAGATGGAGTTTTAGGTGATTGTGAGCCACCATATGAATGCTGAGAACCGAACCTGGGTTCTCTACAAATGTTCTTAACCCCTGAGCCATTTCCCCAGCCCCCAGTTAAGGATTTTTGGAAATACTCTCAGATACATCCAGAAGTGTGTGTTTCCATAGTGATTAAAAATCTAGCCACGTTGATAATTAAGATTAATACTTGCAGGGTCTGGAGAGACGGCCCAGTGGTTAAGAGCGCTGGTTGCTCTTCCACAGGACTGGGGTTTGACTCTCAGCACCCACATGTTGGCTACAGCTGCCTGTAGATCCAGTTCCAGAAGCTCTTATGCCCTTTTCTGGCTTTTGAGGGACCAGACATGTACATGATGCCCAGACACACATCCAGGCAAAACACCCATACACACATTATAAAAAAGAAATAAATCTTAAAAGTACAAGATTCACAACTCAACTGCATATCCACTTGACACTCAAGTATGCCATTTTGAATTGTGGCAGGCTGTCCTTGTCCTCTAAGTCTCGTGTTCATCTC